CTCTGGGAACGAGAGTCGGTTTTAATTTGCGAAACTGGGGAACTGTGTTGAAGGCAGAAGGTGAAAAAAAGATGAGATCCCGAAGGATGCGGAGTCAAACCTGAGCGAGAACTCTGTGACCCCCTGAGATCTTTCCATCTCACATTTCTTTTCCTGTGATTACAAATCGTTAAAAATTAATTGTGCCAACCGAATGACTGAAATATTTGGAGGATGAGATGAAATATATGCATCATGACAATGATTCAAACGATTTTTTTTTTTTTTTTGAGATATTATCATTTGTATCTTTATTTGACTTCATAAATAATGAATGAATGAATGAATGAATGATTTCAACAGAATAATGACAAAAATATGATGGTAGAAACATATTGGCAATGTGCTTACAATGTTTGAAAAAAAATACACATCTAGAAGAATATGATTGTTTCAAATAATCAAATAATAATCAATATTTTCAAATATTAACCCGCTAGATCTGCATGAGCTGAACTGTTCAAATGAAGTGCTTTGTTAATGGGTTTATTAGCTCATCCAAAAATATCCTGTACACTAAAATAGTAAAAATAGTTTAAAATAAAATTAATTAATATGACATGACAAAATTACAGAGCCCCACAAATGCCATGCATAAGAGGAAAAATAAAGATAGCCATTAATTAAGAATTATTTCGCACAAATTATTAATTTGTCCCCTCATTTTAGTAAAATTTGCGTCTATCACACAACTTATTAATTACTTCCCTCATTTTAGTAAAATTTGTGGCCATGTTTTAATTTTGTTCAATCAAGGTCATGAATTAATAAGTCATGCAAACTGATTCTTATTTTCTGGCCATGATATAATATTTTGCCATGTACAAAATATTGATGAACTTTAAAGGATATTTGCATCACAAGACAAAAACTTGTAACATTTCTTTTAAATTCCATTGCTGCTTAACTTCTGTAAACATATTAAATAAAGTTATTCAATGTATTAAATGCATTAAATAATGTCTTTAAATACAATTTTGTGAAAAAACGTAATCTATAATCACTGTTTTTTGTTTACATGTTAAACTAGTTTGTGAACAAATCTTTTTTTTTTTTTTTGGCAGAAATACTGCGCAACTGCTTAGTGAATTTGCCCCTTAATGTTTAAACCATTAATCAACAGTAAACAGGAATTACCAGCATTAATGTTTAACATATGTAAACAAAAACATCTCTAATATGCTGCAAGTTAAATGTTAAACAGCTTTGAGAAAATAGGGACCGTTTCATAGCAAAACAAATTGAAATGAGAGCAATCGAGAGAGAATATTAACATCCCATTAAAATCAAATTGTATGTCTTTTCATGCAGTCAGAAACAATGCTGAATTAATGTTTTTTTCCTCTTCTTTTCCACAGGCAAGGAGAGTAGACGAGGTGCCAAACGGAGTGATTAAATGATATTGCGTCTCTTTAGTTCTCTTGGCAGATACCTGCCCTCGGGCTTTGATTAGCTCTTTGTCTTACAGTGGAAAATCTACAGCAAACCCAATGGATATGACTGCAAATTTACAGCCACGGTGGAGGGAAATAACTCTGTCTTTGTTCGGATGGAACATGCAGGTTTATTTCATGTGGTATAACACATAGTCAGGTGAACAGAATGAAGAGGCGTGCGTTTATTCAGGCCTGATACGGGCAAACAGAAATGGTAATACGCAAGGTCACGTACTTCACCTCTGGGCTTAATTGATGTGACAGACCTTCACAGCCAGATCGTGTGTAACGACTTTGATGAGAAAACCTCAAGTCGGTGTACCAAACCCAAAGGAAAAAAACACAGCGTGATCATGTTCAGCCAGAATGTACTGAAAGTACTACATAATAGTCAATCATGGTTTAAGCTGTTCTTGACTGACTTGGGACCCTTAAACTTAGCATATAGGAGGAATAGTTCAACCAAAAATAAAATCATTTACTCATGTCCTTCCAAACCCATTAGTTTTTCTTTCTTCCGGACAGACTTAAAATTAATGGTGAGAGGAAGATTTCTAGTGATTAATAGCTCAAATATTGTTCAGTTCTTCACACACACAAATTGCCTCATATTGTTTCTTGAATGAAACACACAAGTTATATGGATACTTATGATTTTTTTTTTTCAAAAGTATTTTTTAATTCATATTGACTGTATGAAAAATGGCAGCATGAACATTCCGCAAAATATCTAATTTTGGGTTCCATGGGTAAATTATTGCAGAATTTGCATCTTTCCTTTAAAATGTGGTCAAAATTATTATAGGAACCATTTAACCAGTATAAAGTATGTTTTGGGAAGTTTAATGCTAGTTTTGGTGGCTATTAACTATTAACTACCAGTGGCTTAATCAAGCTTAATCAACTTGTTCTAGTAACAGACCAAAAATGCCCATATAAAACCAGACTATACACAGATTTAAACTGGTCTAAGCAGTTTATTTTTCAGCAAAGATAGCAGAAAATCTAAATGAAAAAGCTTTCATGTCACATTCTTGACCATGACGGGTGCTGTTTCAGGCTTTTAGGCTTTAGAGACTTAAAACATGTCTTTCTTGTAAAAAAAATAAATAAAAAATAACCAGATATTTTCATGCATAGCTTTTAACAGCATTTTATACTTTTACAACTGCACATCAGAAATCCAAACAAAGATTATGATATCAGAGAATAAAGTTCTCTAAGGTGCAAAGATGCAATGTTTTCCTATCAAATACATCAGTTGACAGGATGTTATTCCGATTTTCACAGTTGCTGAGAGCGTAATCATCAGCAAAGACGCTGTTTTTTCTCTGTAATAGGCACCATGCTCTGGTGTGAAACCCAAAAAATAACAACAACAAAAAATACCAACTTAATCTCAATGGGCATTTAATCACAATGCATTTGATTTGAATAATGGAGTTATGCGTTTGAATGAAAATTGTTTACGAACCGCAAAAAGGGATTATTTGTGGATTATTAAATTCGGCTAATTCCGCAGTTGAATGTAATGTGATGAAAAAGTGTTATTAAAACGCTTTGACAGAATCAGTGTTACGGTAACGTGGAGAGGCACTGATGCAGGTTTGGCAAAGTTGACAGCGTCTCATCAGCCATTCATAAGTGCTGAAATGCGCTCTGATTCGGAACGGTACGCATAGGAATGCACATGTGAGCGCACATGAATCTATACCTTATTAAAGACGCAATATCAAAATCTACATCACTGCGAAATACAAGAAAACAAGTCTTTTTTTTATGTGCTTGTGGTATGAGATATTTATAGAAAAGTGTTAAACGCTTTGACAGAATCAGTGTTAAGGTAACGTGGAGAGGCACTGATGCAGGTTTGGCAAAGTTGACAGCGTCTCATCAACCATTCATAAGTGCTGAAATGCGCTCTGATTCGGAACGGTACGCATAGGAATGCACATGTGAGCGCACATGAATCTATACCTTATTAAAGACGCAATATCAAAATCTACATCACTGCGAAATCCAAGAAAACAAGTCTTTTTTTTATGTGCTTGTGGTATGAGATATTTATAGAATTGTACACAGACCAGTGTAGGTCTTATGTGGGTTTTCCTAAACTGATATTTAGGTACATTAGGTCCATGCCCATATCAGTGTAATAGCTGAACTCAAGCTCAAACCAGCTCCCAATCCAAAAACACATTAAAATCCCAATTTAGTTTCAAGGCACCATTCACAGGTTATAGCTCTGTTCCTAAACCTACAGTATCAAGCTGCATTTCAGCAGACAACTAAATCAGCATTATAACCATCACATGACCAATAAGTGACTTTTAAGTGACTAATCTAGAGCACGCTACATTGGCATCAACTCAAATACACTGGGGGAAAAAAAGTGTAGAAACGATTTTCACTTAGAAATTGCTAGTAAATTTGACAAACAAATACAAAGATATGACGAGTAACACACTGAATTAAATGTGAAATTTTGAAGTAGAAAAACTAAAATAGTAATTTCTTGTAAAATGTACTCTAATAATCTTTGTTTTATCTACAACTTTAAAAAATATTTCTTTATGTTGTATAAAAACAAAGCCTCAAAGAGATTAAACTGTACTCTTAAAAATACATGGTACACAAACATATTGGGCAAAATTATTAATTTTAATTTACACTTAACTATTGTTAACGATACTTTTTGGCCTAATACTTTGGCCTAATTTGCACCAATTTCCACGAGTTTCAAGTAGCTCTATTCTTATTTTTTCCAGTAAATTTATAAAAATGTATATACATTTACTTGAGAAGCAACACTGCATAAGATTCAATTGTTTTAAGTATAAACAAATAAAAAACAAGTGGGAAAAAATTGTCAGTGTATCAAGACAATATACACTCTATGAAAAGAGTGTCTTATTTTATGTAGTCTTCTCAAGTAAATTCATTTTTAGATATTTTTACTGAAAAAAAAAAGACTTCAAAAATGCTCACTAGGTTTTTGGAACAGAGCATGTGTTTACTGTCAGATCCACTGTATGGCTCTACTAGATCCATAAAATAAAACACAAAAAGCACAAAACTGAGAGAGCCACATCTTTCCCAGCAGGCCTCATGCTCATTGTCTCCTAACACGTTTTCTCTCCCTGCTGAGTGACAGCAGACTACAAATACCTCAGGGTACCAAACATCATCTGGCATACTAATCAACAATTATAGACAGAAAAAAACAATCAACACTAACAAACAATTCGTACAATGGTGTTGCCATGTTTTTGGGCATCTATAATGCTAAATAACATTATTTTTTAGACATTGTACATGATGTATCTCTTACATGACTGTACCATGGCACCACAGTTAATATAATTCCCTGATTGTCACTCACCTGATTTTCTGACATACAAATACGGCTTTAGGTTTTTAACAAAATAATACCCTAAAAAGCATTTGCGGTGACTGCTGTACCTCACAGTCGACAGTGTCTATGCATGGTGACTGTGTACCGTAGGTGTTGAATGTTGGATTTACCTGCCCACAGGCGAGCCCCATTCCCCTCTCCCCCATTCCATGAGGACATGATAGATTCAGCTCCAGGGCATCAGCGCCAGACTCCTGTGAGATGGATGCAGAAGCCTCAGATTATTTACAAATAAATTCAATGCATTTTTCAGCTTTGAATCACAATGAAGCTGTGGACGTTCATATGCAACCCTCACACATGACACATACATATATAATATATAGGAGGAAATTCACTCAAATGAAAATGCGTCCACTTTTAGCATCGCATACTCTGCCTGCGTTGTTTTTTTTTTGCACACTGTTCACTAAGGATTCATGCAAATTAGACAACATGCCCCAGAAATAGAATACAGCAGACTAGCATGTTCTGGTGTACTTTACTGAAACTCAGTTTCGTATTGCTCCATCATTGTGATCCAGGCACATGAATTGGATATATGTTCACCCGTGCACATCTCCATCATTTGATGAATTACCGCTCTCATGATCACAACATGAACCCAAACTTGTCTTTTAAATAGTTAATTGCAATAAAAATGAATTGTAGAAAGACTGTTTTTTGTAAATAATCTATAATACGGCAAATTTAGGAAAAAAGAAGTGTGTTTGCATTAAAAAGAATGAAATTTGTTTAAACAGGGATGCTGCAGCACTATAATAGCAAACTAATACACGTGGTTTGTGAATAAGAAGCAGGTCTTTGTGCTGAAATACAGCATGCAAAAGTCACACAACTGTTTAGTGAATTTAGCTCCCAGTCTAAAAAAATAAGCTCAAATTAATAAACAGCCTGATGCCATAGGAGAACTTAAAAAAAAAGTCATTATTTTCTCACCCATATGTCATTCCAAACATATATGACTTTGAGATAATGTTTTTTGTATTATTATTTTTTTTTTTCCCACTTAAAGTCAATGGGGTCCAATATGGTTAAAAAGTCAAAATATCACCTTTGGCGTTAAACAGAAAAAAGAAAGCCAAGCAGGTTTGAAATGACATAAAAGTGAGTAAATGATGACAGAATGTTCATTCTGTCACCAACTTGTAGAACATATCCACCTTTTTCTTCAACGCGGAAGCCAGCCTATGGGTGAGACTGTAAACAGTAAACGGTAAAACTGTTTGCACTACAAACCAGTGTGTTCATAATTAAGATAATACATTAAAATAATATGATAAGACACACCAACTTTCAATATCAAGCAGCAAAACGAACTGTTTTGTTCAGCTAAAAATAGCTGGACTCACCCATATGTCATTCCAAAAATATATGACTTTGAGATAATGTTTTTTGTATTATTTTTTTTTTTTCCACTTAAAGTCAATGGGGTCCAATATGGTTAAAAAGTCAAAATATCACCTTTGGCGTTAAACAGAAAAAAGAAAGCCAAGCAGGTTTGAAATGACATAAAAGTGAGTAAATGATGACAGAATGTTCATTCTGTCACCAACTTGTAGAACATATCCACCTTTTTCTTCAACGCGGAAGCCAGCCTATGGGTGAGACTGTAAACAGTAAACGGTAAAACTGTTTGCACTACAAACCAGTGTGTTCATAATTAAGATAATACATTAAAATAATATGATAAGACACACCAACTTTCAATATCAAGCAGCAAAACGAGCTATTTTGTTCAACTAAAAATAGCTGGACGGAGTGGACGCAGATGAGACCGGAAGCCAGACCCATAGAATTTACAAATGGCCGTGCCCATTTTTACAAGAAAAAGGTGGATAATGAAACATCAAGAAACAAAACAAAAATCTTCAATGCACTTCAGGTTCAGCTAGGGCTGTGCAATTAACCGAAAAACAGTTTCGATTTCGATTTTGGCCTCCAACGATTATGAAAATGCAGTAATCGAGATAAAACGATTATTGCGCCCCATTCCACCCCCTTTTCCAGCGCTTTCGTTCCTCCATAAAAGCCCGATTTCATGTGCAAATCAGTAAAATCATGTAACGTGACCTTTGCAAAATGGGACGTGCTTGATTTATAGAAGTATACTGTATTTATTCATGTTTTCAAAAAAAGAGAACTTGCGCTGTTCCTCAGGAAGATATATGCGCTCAGAAACGGAACAGAACACGGACATGTAAAGTCATCTTTTAGCTCAAGGTGC